ATGTGTGTGTCTGTGTAACGGTCTCTCTGTGTCATGGTGTGTGTTTGTCTGTGTCGTGTGTGTCTGTGTCACGGTCTGAATGTGTTATGGTGTGTGTGTCAAGGTGTGTGTTTTTTTTTTAAGGTGTGTGTCTGTCATGGTGTGTGTGTGTCTTGCGTGGTACGTGTGTGTCCCTGTCATGGTGTGTGTGTGTCTGTGTCACGGTGTGTGTGTTTCTGTCTGTGTCACGGTGTGTGTGTGTTTCTGTCTGTGTCACGGTGTGTGTGTTTCTGTCTGTGTCACGGTGTGTGTCTGTCATGGTGTGTGTATGTATGTTTTTACTCACCTTTGTCGTGCTGGTCTCCCTTCGACTGGCCCTGCCTCTACGGCTGAGATCAAGCTTGATGATCTCAGCCAATCCGCACTGACAAAGGAAGCACCTGTAGTGACCGTCTGAGTGTCTGTCAAAAGTCAGTGTTTACATTGAAAGCCTGCAGGGACAGGCTATAGACACCAGAGCCACTACATTAAGCTGTGTTTGTGTGTGCCCGCCTGCTAGTGAGTGGGCTTGTGTTTAAGTCAATGACCTTATGTATATCAGTGAGATTGTTTGTCTATGAGGCTGTGTATCAATCATCTTGTGTCAGTGAGATTGTCTGTGTCTTCATGTGAGTATGCTTACTGTATAATTAAAAATTTTACTCTGCAAGGACCAATATTTTATATTGGAAAAAGCTATATATATATATATATATATATATATATAGTAACAAACCACCTCTTTTACAGGTAGGATTGTCACAGATCTTGCAGTAACCACAGCCTTCTAGGGTATACAAAGTCCAGGACACATTCAGCTCGGTTTTCCTTTTTATTCAGCAAGAAAACAGGTGCTTTAAATAATAACAAAACAAACAAAATCCCTTGCTCTTACTTGAGCGCTTACTAGACAGTAATTGCTATCTGCAATTGGGTGGCTTTCCCACTTACCAATTTTCCAAACAAAAGAAATGTCTTTGCAATACACACAATCTCTCCTAGCTGTCTTTTTCTCCCTCACTCTGCAGCAGGCTGCTCTCTTCTTTTAAAGGCCTGTCTACTAATTGAGTAGCTACAGGCAGGGGCGGACTGACCACTCGGGCACTTCGGTCATGGACCGAGGGCCCGAGGCAGTCAGGGGCCCGGCCGCACAGCCATGCTCCAGCTGGAGAGATCAGAGATCTCTCCAACTGGAACGAAAAAATTAAATAAAATAAAACTATTTCATTGATAGGTTGTGGGGCCCCTGATGCAGCGCGGGGCCCCACAACCTACCGCTCTTTAAATCCACCCCCTCCCTCCTCCCATGAGACCTGGCAGCTTCACCTCTTCTCCCTCTCTGCCAGGTCTCCTTCTCCCTGTCCGCGCGGTGCTCTGTGTGATGGGAGAGGCGGGCACAGGAAGTAACATCACTTCCTGTTTACTCCTCTCACACAGAGCCCAGCGAGGGGAAGGAGCTGCAGCCAGGGAGACCAGAGGAAGCAGAGAGAAAGGTAGGCTTTAGTCACCCCCCCCCCACCACTGTCACCAGTCACCCCCCCCACTGTCACTAGTCACCCCCCCACTGTCACTAGTCACCTCCCCTCACTGTCACTAGTCACCTCCCCCCACTGTCACTAGTCAGCTCCCCCCACTGTCACTAGTCACCCCCCACTGTCACTAGTCCCCTCACTGTCACTAGTCACCCCCCTCACTGTCACTAGTCACCTCCCCTCACTGTCACTAGTCACCTCCCCACTGTCACTAGTCACCCCCTCACTGTCACCAGGCATTCCTTCACTATGTCATCCCTTCCTTCCCTCACTCTGCCACTCGTCATCCCCTCACTCTGTCACCAGTCACCCCTTCCTTCCTTCACAGTGACAGTTAGGGAGGGAGTGACTAGTGACAGAGAGAGGGATGGGGTGACTAGTGACAGTCACCCCCTCCCTCCCTCTGTCACTAGTCACTCCCTCCCTCTGTCACTAGTCATTCCCTCCCTCTGTCACCAGTCATCCCCTCACTCTGTCACCAGTCATCCCCTCACTCTGTCACTAGTCACCTCTTCCCTCCCTCACTTTGCCACTAGTCATCTCTTCCCTCCCTCCCCCACTCTGCCACTAGTCACCCATTCCCTAACTCTGTCACTGGTCACCCACTCCCTCACTCTGTCACCAGTCACCCCCACTCACTGTGTCTCCCCCTCACTCTGCCACCACTCAACCCCTCCTTCCCTCACTCTGCCACCAGGTACCTCCTCACTCTTCCACCTGTCACCTTCTCCCTCATACACTCTGTCACCTGTCACATATGCATTCACACAGACACTATATACAAAAAAGCACATGTAGTCATCCAGACATGCACAAGTGCATTCACACAGACTCAAATACAAGCATGCATTGATACACAGGTCTTCACAATATACACATCCAAAGGAATGCCGTATTATGAGTTATATTTAACATTTATTTAATGCACGTATATTTGGCCTTCAAAGGGCCTGGGATCTAATTTTGCCCGGGGGCCCCAAAGGCTCTCAGTCCGCCCCTGGCTACAGATGAGTGCCAATTAGTTAACTCTTAAAATCAGATCCAAGCTGTGGTCTGTTATACAGCCCACCCTGCTCTCCAAATACTCCGCCCCAGGGACCCTTACCATGTTTTGCAGAGCATCAGCTATGCATATTGCAAACTCTAACATCTCTCCCTGGGGCATTTAACTGAAAATCCTCTGGTTGCTGTTTAGCAAATCAGGTCTGATGTATCTCCCATCAACCACTATTCCACCTTTACGCTCACAATATATATATATATATATATATATATACATATCTATATCAATCATCTAGGGTGGCAAGACATAGCATTACATATTATATGCGACAATATATGGCACAATGACTTATGGGGCTGGCATAGATTTTTTTCCAGGGCTGCTTTGGAATCCCCAGTCCGGCCCTGGGTAGATGTAGTTGTCACCAACGATCAGAAAGATCCCATCCAGGGACTTCTTAAGGGAAAAATCAATGTTGGTCAAACAAAATACAAAGTGCATAACTCAGTAATGAGCTGGATTTAGGAAGGCTGGAGCACATAGTGAGTATCTGGCTTGATTCAGGCAGGCTGGAGCATACTGTGCATATCTGGCTGGATTGAGGTCGGCTGGAGTACACTGTGGTTATCAGGCTGGCTGGAACACACTGTGGGTATTGGCCTGGAGCACAGTGTTTTTTTAAACAGGGCTGTGGGCTCCAGATAAGAATACTCCTCCACATAGCTTTCCTCAGCATGATGATCAAATTGTCCTGGTGCTCTTTTGTCTTCCCTCCCCCTAACCTTTTATGTATAATATACTATCTGCTGTGCTCTATGCAGGGACGTATTAGCCCGCGAGGCAAACAAGGCATTTGCCTTGGGCGGCATTTTTCAGGGGGCGGCAAAAAACGCCGCCCCCCAAATGCCCAGGGCAGATGCCTTGTTAGCCTTGCGGCTAACTGACATCCCGGGCGGCCGGCGAGGGAGCACTTCCCATGAGCTGACTGCTCAGCTCCCTCGCGCACCGCAAAGTGAGGCTGGGAGCCGGAAGATGGCGTCATCTTCCGGTTCCCAGCCTCACTCTGCAGCCGACGCGCGAGGGAGCTGAGCAGTCAGCTCATGGGAAGTGCTCCCTCGCCGGCCGCCCACCTGCCAGCGCCGCCCGCCCTGCAGCCACTGGACCACAAGGGAGAGAGACCCCCCTCCCCAGCACTCCCAAAGGTAAGGAGGTTGGGGGGGGATTTAAATAAAAAAAAAGTTAATGTGTGTGTGTGTGTGTGTGTGTTTGTGTCTGACTGTGTGTGTGTTTGTGTCTGACTGTGTGTGTGTTTGTGTCTGACTGTGTGTGTGTTTGTGAGTGTGTGTGTGTGTTTGTGTCTGTGTATGTGTCTGACTGTGTGTGTGTGTGTTTGTGTCTGACTGTGTTTGTGTCTGTGTATGTGTCTGACTGTGTGTGTGTGCATGTGACTGTGTGTGTGTGTGTCTGTGTGTGTTTGTGTGTGTGTTTGTGTCTGACTGTGTGTCTGACTGTGTGTGTGTGTTTGTGTCTGACTGTGTATGTGTGTGTGTGTGTGTCTGACTGTGTGTGCGTGTTTCGTCTGACGTATGTGTCTGACTGTGTGTGTGTGTGTGTGTGTGTGTGTTTGTGTATGTGTCTGACTGTGTGTGTGTGTGTTTGTGTCTGACTGTGTGTGTGTGTGTGTTTGTGTATGTGTCTGACTGCGTGTGTGTGTGTGTTTGTGTCTGACTGTGTGTGTGTGTATTTAGAAGGTGGGGCGGGGAAGGCTGGGTGGGGGTGGTGGCTGGCTTCGGGTTTTGTCCTGCCTAGGGCAGCACAAAACCAGGATACACCACTGGCTCTATGCCGAAACTTAGTTCCCCCGCACTGCTTTAAAGTATATATAAATATATGAATATATAGTGTCAGCAGCTGGAGATCTGGTTACTTCTGCAGATCTCATGCAGGTCACACCTCGATGTTGGGTGGGCTGCATGTTGGACACCCCTGTCATGGATGGTAGGGTATAATGTAATAATTAGCTTCACTCTTAAGTGGTCCATTGACTTATATTTGAATACAATTGTGGCATGTAGCCTAATATACAGTATGTGTATGTATACACTGATCATCCACAACATTAAACCTAAAACCACTTGCCTAATATTGGGTAGGTCACCCTCGTGCTGCCAAAGCAGGCATGGACTCCACAAGACCTCTGAATGTGTTCTGTTTTATCTGGCACCAAGACATTAGCAGCAGATCTTTTAAGTTCTGCTAGTTGCAAGGTGGTGCCTGCAGTTATACTGTTCTATTCTCTACCATTTAGGAGTTAAATCACTTTGGTTCTGTCCATATGGCCCTATCC